TCTGGGATTGGGAAGAGCAGTGGCGGAGAGGGGAGAGTGGCAGAGGAGCAGCTCCACCAAAGAGGGGCCTGGACCTCAGTGTCCTCCCCACCAGCCCAGATCCCTGGATCCACATCCTGTCCAAATCCCTGGATCTGTGTCTTCTCCATCATCCCAAATCCCTGGATCTGTGTCCATCCCAAATCCCTGGATCTGTGTCCTCTCCATCATCCCAAATCCCTGGATCCACACCCTGTCCAAATCCCTGGATCTGTGTCTTCTCCATCCAGCCCAAATCCCTGGATGCACATCCTGTCCAAATCCCTGGATCTGTGTCTTCTCCATCATCCCAAATCCCTGGATCTGTGTCTTCTCCATCATCCCAAATCCCTGGATCTGTGTCCAGCCCAAATCCCTGGATCCGTGTCCATCCCAAATCCCTGGATCTGTGTCCAATCCAACCAGCCCAAATCCCTGGATCTGTGTCCTCTCCATCATCCCAAACCCCTGGATCCACATCCTGTCCAAATCCCTGGATCTGTGTCCTCTCCATCATCCCAAACCCCTGGATCCACATCCTGTCCAAATCCCTGGATCTGTGTCTTCTCCATCATCCCAAATCCCTGGATCTGTGTCCAGTCCCACCAGGCCAAATCCCTGGATCTGTGTCTTCTCCACCAGCCCAAATCCCTGGATCTGTGTCTTCTCCATCCAGCCCAAATTCCTGGATCCACATCCTGTCCAAATCCCTGGATCTGTGTCCTCTCCATCATCCCAAATCCCTGGATCCGTGTCCTTTCCATCATCCCAAATCCCTGGATCCGTGTCCATCCCAAATCCCAAATCCCTGGATCTGTGTCCTCTCCATCATCCCAAATCCCTGGATCTGTGTCCAATCCCACCATCCCAAACTCCTGAATCTGTGTCCTTCCCAACACCCCAAATCTCTGGATCTGTATCCATCCCAAATCCCTGGATCCGTGTCCAATCCCATCATCCCAAATTCCTGGATCTGTGTCCATCCCAAATCCCTGGATCCGTGTCCAATCCCATCATCCCAAATCCCTGGATCCGTGTCCTTTCCATCATCCCAAATCCCTGGATCTGTGTCCAATCCCACCAGCCCAAATCCCTGGATCTGTGTCTTCTCCATCCAGCCCAAATTCCTGGATCCACATCCTGTCCAAATCCCTGGATCTGTGTCTTCTCCATCATCCCAAATCCCTGGATCTGTGTCCTCCCCACCAGCCCAAATCCCTGGATCTGTGTCCAATCCCATCATCCCAAATCCCTGGATCCGTGTCCATCCCAAATCCTGGATCCGTGTCCAATCCCACCATCCCAAACTCCTGGATCCGTGTCCTTCCCACCATCCCAAATCTCTGGATCTGTGTCCTTTCCATCATCCCAAATCCCTGGATCCGTGTCCTTTCCATCATCCCAAATCCCTGGATCCGTGTCCATCCCAAATCCCAAATCCCTGGATCCGTGTCCAATCCCATCATCCCAAATCCCTGGATCTGTGTCCATCCCAAATCCCTGGATCCGTGTCCAATCCCACCATCCCAAACTCCTGGATCCGTGTCCTTCCCACCATCCCAAATCTCTGGATCTGTATCCATCCCAAATCCCTGGATCCGTGTCCATCCCAAATCCCAAATCCCTGGATCCGTGTCCATCCCAAATCCCAAATCCTGGATCCGTGTCCAATCCCACCATCCCAAACTCCTGGATCCATGTCCAATCCCACCATCCCAAACTCCTGGATCCATGTCCTCCCCACCATCCCAAATCCGTGGAGGAACGGGGTGGGAAATGTTGGACCCGGAAGAAATCCGCAATTGCTTGGGAGTTCCAAGGCCAAAATCGAGCGCGGTTTATTGACGCATCCGAAATTTACGGAATTCCAAAATCCACCTCGGATTGGGGCATGGAATTGCCAAATGTCCAACCAACGCCGGCC